CAGGATATATTAAGAATAAGGGAGAAAAGAAGGTTAATCCTGAGCCTCGACAATTCCTTTCCATGGAAAAGAATCCAAAGCGTGCAAGAGAATTACTTACTTGGATCCAAAATGCTATAGCAACGAAAAAGTTACGTCATCCTGTATATAGTGATAATGGAAAACGTAATACCAGAGCATTTAGCAAATTTTTAAAGCCATATGGTATTATTGCCAAAAGATTGAGAAAAATAGGAGGTAAGCACGCTTCTAGAGTTCATGGTGGCCAAAATCCAACATCCCAACGTCTTAATTTACTTGCTAGAATTGCAATGAGACATAAGATAGACCGTTTTGATTCTGGAACTTATTATGCTGAGGGCGACACTTCTTCTGATTCTGATTCTGATTCCGATTCCGATTCTAAACCCGAACCTAAATCTCAGCCTAAGAATAACGATCTTTCAAATAAAGTGCACTATAATCCTTTTGATGTCCAAATCGCGGAAATAGATTCGATGTTAGCTGGAATTAAAAATTTTCGTTAATAGTTCGGATAATGCAAGCGCCATAATAAATATATAGCTATGTAATAAAAAAATACTTATCTTCAATTTTAGCCCCTCTGAAGCCTATTAAATGGTATACTAATATCTAGCATCGACCAACTTTTGCAGAAAAATCGCGTGTGCGTTACAAGATCAAATATCAACTGATTTGTAAATACTTATCTACAATTATGCTTCCACTGCTATGTTTTTATTTGGAAATATAAGAGCATTGTTCCAAGGGATAGGTGATGTGAAGCATTGAGTTTTTAACTTCTGAATTGGTTTTGAATTTTCAGGATAAGCTTCTAATACCTCATCAATAAAAATTCCTGGCTCTTTTAAATTAGTGCAATGCAAATAATAATATATCTTTTTACTTCGATTATCAAACCACCAATTACCTTGTAAACTCATATGATTTTCTCTACATATTGGACAATGTGAACCGAAAATCCAATAGGAATCACTCTGGTGCTCGCCTTCCTTATCTATACTATAATCTTTGTCCAATTTTGGAGAATCAGAGAAACGCATGGTTAATTTGTTAATAACTTGATTACGCTCCTCTTTTGATAGCATCTTCTTGAATGGAAAGAGCTTTGGAAGGGTATTAGATGGTGGTATACTTAACTCGGTTCCTGATACTTTTTTTCAGACAATGCGCTTATACTTACCTCAGATTCCGGTAAAGACATTTTCTTGGCTTCCTCACTTATCTCAGCTTCTAATAATTTTTTAGAATCGATAGATGATTCCAAGGGAATCGATTCATCAGATATACTTACCTTAGTGTTTGATATATCGTTTGAACTAGATAGTTGTATCACGTGCGAGTTCGGTTCCGCAATGCCTATTACTTTTTAACTGTATCGTCCATATTAGTAGACTTTTTAGGGAAACAATTTATAATATTTTGAATCTGATCATCTTTTAAGCTTGAAATAGCGCTTGCACTACAAGTTACTTGTCTAATTCTATCTATCCCAATTCCCATAAATAATGTATAAATTTTTTTAGCTTTAAAGGTTCTCTGTCGCAAATTTATATCAGTAATATCAGGAAGAAGTAATTTTATTTCGTTATATACCAATGTTCTTGCCTTTTGATCATCAATATTATTTATACGCTTAATATCTTCGATTCGATCCTCATTTGCTTTATAGTAACAATACCAGCATAAAATCTCTTTTTGTCTAGTCTTCGTAGAAACATTAAATACATCAACTATATTTTGTGTCGTAATTTTTCCAGATCCTCTTATAATTGTTTCTAAAGATAATTCGGGAATCTGTATATCAAATACATTATGTGCCTTGGCACTAGCTCCGCTATTAATTTCACTGCTATCATTTTTGACGCAAACAGATAATTCATGCCTTAAATATTGCTCTACTTTCTGGTTATAGGGAATTTTCTTTAGTTTCGCTATTTCGGAAGAAAAAGTTTGTGATGAGTCTTCGACTCTGGGCTT